GGTGCTGACCTAGCCCTTACTTTTATTTTTAAATATTTTTTTAGTTATTGATGGATCTTTATTTATTTATATGCAGTGCTAAAAATCGAACCCAATGCCTCACACACGCTAGGCAAGCACTCTACCACTGAGCTACAACTACAGCCTCCCTCTTTATTTTTTATATTGAGACAGGGTTTCACTAAGTTGCTTAGGGCCTCACTAAGTTGCTGAGGTTGGCTTTGAACTTGCAATTCTCCTACTTCAGCCTCAGGAGCTACTGGGATTATAGCTATGAGCCAGTGTGCCCACCCCTAAAAAAGGTTTGTGAAGCAAAAGGTCCACAGTGGTAACTGGTGGATAACTACTCAACAGTGCATTTGCTTTATTTTATCTTTAAAAATTCGATGGTTGCCTTGCATGCACAAGGCCCTGGGTTCAATCCCCAGCACCACAAAAAAAAAAAAAAAAAAAAAGAATTTGGGGCTGGGGATGTGGCTCAAGCGGTAGCGCGCTCGCCTGGCATGCGTGCGGCCCGGGTTCCATCCTCAGCACCACATACAAACAAAGATGTTGTGTCCGCCAAATACTAAAAAAAATAAAATAAATATTAAAAAAAAAATTGAAAAAAAAAAAAAATTCGATGGATCAGGACTGTGCCAGGGCAGCCATTTAGAGGTGATCGAGACACAGTTCCTGCCTGAGTATCTTGCTGTCCGGCAGGAGACTTGGGTGTGGGAGGATGAAGAATAGATGGAATACATAAAATTACAATTTTACAGAGCTAAGTTCAAAATAAAATGAGGTTATAAGAGTGGTGTGAAGGGCTGGGGATGTGGCTCAAGCGGTAGCGCACTCGCCTGGCATGCGTGCGGCCCGGGTTCGATCCTCAGCACCACATACAAACAAAGATGTTGCGTCCGCCGAAAACTAAAAAAAATAAATAAATATTAAAATTCTATCTTAAAAAAAAAAAAACAGAAAAAAAAAAAGAGTGGTGTGAATTTGGGGGGCACTCAGGGAAAGGAGTTGCTAATATTATTTTTGCAGAGCCTTAACGGAAAGGAGTTTGCCTTTCAGGAAGAAAAAGATTAGGGAGAGGTGGTTGGAAAAGAGCAGGATGAATACTCAAGGTAGTGAAAATCATCCATGCAAGGACCAGGAGAATCCTAAGGAAACCAGCCAGGCCCCATTGGGAAGCAACATATGAGGACAGAAAGAAGGCCATCATTAGATCTGGAAGGGCCTTGGACACTAAGTTGAGGAGTTCAGTCAGGTGGACCTTGCAGGGGAAGTTACAGTCACATCTGCTTAGAAGGAAGACATCTTGGGCAACTAGTTTGGTGTGGAATGGAGGCTGCTATGAAGGAGTGGCTGCCCCAGAAGCTGATGGGAACAAGGTGGGCCTGTGTGGTGGGTGGGACGCAAAGATAAGCAGGTCCGGCCAGTGCCAATATTCACAATCTCCTAGAGGGCAGTGGGCAAGTAAGCCTGTGACATTTGTAACTCTTATTTCTCTGAGGCAGCAAAGGGTAGTGGGGTTTACCATGGACATTCTGAGCCCTTGGATGGCTGTCATAGGATGACAGCAGAGCACATGGAACCCAGTGGAGCCCAGGACTTGGTCTGCCTGGTTTTGAATCTGGCTCTGCCACTCTGGAGCGAGTTTCTTACCATTTCTGCAAGTCAGTGTCCTGCTTTCAGGGATGGCACTGGCCCCTATCCTGGCAGGGTTAATATGAGGGTGGCCAATCCACGGAAGGTGTTAAGAACAGTGTGGAATATAGCAGGCCCTGGGTAAGGGTTATCTCTAGCAAGTTGCTGGTGGACTGAAGGCTATGAAATTAAAGCTGCTGTGGTGGAAAGGGGCTGCAGTCCAACTCTTTGTCCTTGCCCATTCCGTGGAGCAGGCCTTGATAAAACCTCTCCACCTGTCTGAGAATCACAAGGTTCTCCACTTCCGGAGTTAATTTCTATGTTTCCTGAACTCAGAGAATTCAAGAAATTCAAGTAGGGTAAGCTGCTGATGCCTGAATTCTTTCTCCTCAGGCAGCAGAGTTCAACAACCTGAGGAGAACCAGTGGTCCCCCATACCTACAGGCACCAGGATAATCCAGCCTAGGCCCACAATGCCCAGAGTCAGGAGCTGGGCCCAGTGCTCTGCAGGTACAGGACAGTTGTCAAAGCTCACCCCAGATACAGACACCCCTGCTGGCCCATGAGGAGGGCTTGGAGGGGGGCTTTTTAAGGGAGGAAAAGCCCTCTGCAACAGAATAGAAGTTGTCATCATTTTCTGCTACATGAAGTGTCCTCGAAGGAAGTTCTACCTCATGGTTACTATAAATGAGCTCATTTCAGCTGAGTGTTTAACACAGTTAAGCAAGCAAGGGCCTTCCTCCGGAGCCCACTTACCTGCAACCCATTCTTCTTATACCTACTGAAGTATGTACAGTGTTCAGCAGGTTGAGTGGGTATTCCAGGCCCAGTGAACATCCAGAGCTATAGTCTAAAAAATTCTAAGAAAAATTCTTTTGCAGTTTTCATAGTGTGACTAGACAAAAAGATACTTCACATTTTGACATGCTATATAAACGAGGCAAAAATTCATTCTTTCTAGTCTGACTCAAGGTCACTTTGCTGTCATTTTAAAGCCTACAATTTTTAACTAAGCCAAATCCTACAGGAATTGCAGCAGTGCTTATAGTGTTGGCACCCATCCATCATGACTGGAGTTGAGGATCTTTTCAGAGACCCCTAATATGTGAGATTTTATCACAGCATTACTGATCCCAAATTAACAAGAGCAGTTCTAGAAGCAACCTTTAGCTTCCATTCATCAAGGTTAGCTGTTATATTAAGCAGACCAGTATACTCTGGGGAGTAACTAGTATTTTATTAAGTTATAAATACATTTAATGGCTTTAGTACTGGTTTCTTATTTTGGAATATGAGAAAGAAAAAAATAGAACTCATAATCACAAGAGTCTAAGTAAAAAGCCACTATTTTTTTTAATAACATGTATTTACCTACAACATTGCTTATGAATTATCTTTTTTTATGGAGCCCACATGCCTCCTTAAAGGACAACTGTAACTCCCCTATAACTGATCACCCAGCTACTTGCAAGGATGAACTGGCTTATCTGCTCAAGAGAAATCAAAATTGGTACAAGATTTTAAAATCAAACTGTTCAGTTTTGATTCATACTAGTCAAACCAGTTCAGAAAAAGACCAAGAGACTTCTTTCCCCACCCCCACCTGCCTTTGTGGTTTCTCCTTAAGTGAAATACATGCCCATCTTCATTCACTGAACTTTAAACAGAGCATTTTCTTTCTTTTTGCACTGACTGAACTGAGGACCTCCCACATGCTAGGCAAACCTTCCACCACAGAAAGATAAAAAGAGCAGAGTTCTTATCTTTCCCTTATCTACACTGAGAAAAAACATATTTAGATCATCCACCAAATAATAATTGCCTATTACAGCAAGTGTGAGCTTACCTCATTTCCAGCTGCTGATTTGCTCCCAGGTCCACTGATTGTAGGCAAATTCTAGGGCAGTGCCCACTGTATTCCCAGGAATGAGGACTGTCAAGGAATCCTCAGTGATTTGCTGGGAAGAAGTGGTCCCTGAGCTGACTAGGAAGAAATCTAAATTAACTGCACAGGTGCTATAAGCTCCATATGGGTAACACCCCTCACATCCCACCCCCTTCTGTTCCCAAATACAAATGAGCCACTCCATCTTCTCCTTTCTCCTCACATGCTGCTCAGCTCTAGCCCCACTGGCCTCCACCCCAAGGGAGGTGAGTGTTCTGGGATTCCTGATCCTTAGGTGGGATTCCCCAGACTAGTGGTAACCAGGGCCTCGGGAGAGCCCCAGTAGGGGTGGGAAAGAGTGTCAGAGAAAGGTCACCATTCTGCAGGGGCTGAGCTGCTTGCTCTTGGTCAGGATAAACAGGACTCGCCTCAAATAAAGGCTAGCATGGTCCTTTGGGTTGACTTCTCCCCCATATAGAGGACGGCTAGCTGAGGCAATCTGGAGTTGGCTTAAAAATCAGCAACAGGGAGGGGGAACCTCACAACAAACAGTGGTAACAGAAGGTTTGTGTGGGAGGATGGTTAAGTTTGGTCTAAAACAAGCAGTGTCTCTGGTAATGAGCTGTTGTTAGGAAATACGTGGGGCCCTCGGTGCTCGCAGCCTATAAGAGCACTGTTGCTGCCTCTCGAGGGCTGGGGTTTTTGAGGGGAAAGGATGGAGAAGGGCAAAGTGAGGTGACACAAGGACTCAAGTGAAATGCACAGGGACACTACAGAACAGTGGGAAAAACCACCGCATGTGTGGCAGCCACAAGGGCCTGCTCTTGAATCCTGGCCCTATTCATATCATTCTGTGACTTTTAGTTAATACCTACCTTCTCTGCATCAAAGCTGGCTATCTCTGAATGAGGACACCTAAGCTATCAGCTGGAGTTCTGGCCAAAAACACTCAAGGACAGTGAAGCACCTGAGGCTGAAAAAAGCAGGGAGCTAAGACCAATCCTGTGCTGGGAGGCAAAGAGGAGGGTGTGATTACCAAGTCTCAGAAGTCACCTGACTGGAGTTGGGTAGCCCTTGGCAGAGAAGCCCAGCCACAGCCAACCCACACCTGGCAGGAGGAGGCCCTAGAGATTTCCTTTATCCTCCGAGTTCCTCCCAGCATCTGCGGTGATCCTGATCAGCAGCCAGGACAGGTCCATAGAGGCTGACTTTCAGGGCAGGTGCAGGGTGAGGAGAGGGCCCAGGGAGTACTCAGAGACTATCCTGCATGCCTGAATACGTGATAAGGCTGGCAGGGAGCCAAGCCTTAAAGTGAGATGATCATCATAAATGCCTGGCACAGTAAACAGTTACTCACTGCCCAAGTGACAGACTTTACGGCATTTACTTATCAAAAAGCCATAATACAACTTTATTCTTAGGTGGTCAAAGCCAGAATGAAAACAAGATATGGTCATCCACTCAAAGTGAAAAACAAAACTTTTACAAAATTGACAGATAACATTTATTAAAACATGTCATACAAAAGGGCATGGTCTCTTCTATAAGAAGAAATATTAAACAGTAACATTCAATTAAGAAAAACCATGCTGTGCACCAAAGACAGCAATTATATAAAGACAAAACTATTCAACTTTTGCAACACAGGCATAACATTTCACAAATACCAATAAGATATGCACCTAATGATAATCTGCTTATCATTAAATGGTTTTGTGGCCTACGAGTCACCTGACTTGCATAAATAAATTTTCTGGAAGAAACATTGGGAACCTCCATAAAAGGAAAGAAGGCAGCAGCAACTGACATGACACAGGCTTCAAGCAAATTAAAAAAAAAAAAAAAAAAAAAGTCACATTTCCAAAATGTGTTCCAGCATCTTCCCATAGGGCACAATCAGTAGAGATCTGAAATAAGAAACTTGTACCTTTAAATATGTGAGTAGCAAAAGAAAAAAACACAAACAAACAAACCCTGGTTTCACTGAACAAAGTTAGTTACTCATGAAAGCAACCTAAATCACAAAAGTCAGTGGCACAGAAGGGGGCTAGCGTAACACATCCCTTGGTTTCTGGCATTCCTAAAGTATCAGAGAGTTTACAGGAACAAAAATGAGTGGATTTACTGAAGTTGCCTTCCCCACCCCTACCTGAGGCTGCAGCACACCCTTCTCAAGGAAAGCACAACCTTGCCCCTAACTTCCCTTCTGCAGCAGCTCAGGGTGTGCCAGTCTCTGTGGGAAGGAGCCACAAGGCTTTCCCAATAGTTAGCAGCCTGCCCAGGTCAGTGTAGTTCAACAAATGCCCAGTAGAATAAAGGGGACCCTTTGGGGTAGACTTTTAAAACAAGGGCCGAAAGAGACTGGGGAAGGCAAGATCTAGAAATGGGACTCAATGGTATGAGGCTCAGGAGAGGCTGGGGGCAAGCCCTGGCATCTGAGTCACTGCAGTCCTTCCATAGCTAGATATCTGCTTTACCAAGTAGATTACTATAATGTGTCTTGTCTAGAGTGAAAGGCCTAGTCTTTGCAGAATATCAAATGCCACTGGTGGTGCCTTGAAGCCCTTTCCCACTGGGATGAGAGAAAAACCACAGTTAAGACTCAAAGTAGGGGACAAATACCTTGGTTATAGGCCATCAAATGATCCCTGAAAGACTGTTTGGAAAATGTTACTATCCAAACACATTTGGAAGGATAAGGATTTCCTAAAGCTGTGTCTGGGCTGAAGGAGAAACTGAGGGCGGGGAGGCAGGAGTGCAGCATGACCTCCTAATCCTGCAAAGCAGAGTCCACCAATACTGCAGTTCCATATCCAGACTGACACCCAGCAACTCACAGGGCCTGGCTGACCCATAAGCAACCCCCATTTTTACCAAAACCTGAACTACCACAAAAAACTTCAAATAGCAGATGTGAAGACCTTATTTAAGTTCTACATTTTTTTTTTTTTTTGGTACTGGGGATTGAACCCAGGGCCTCATGCATGTGAAGCAAGTACTCTACCAACTGAGCTATAGCCCCAGCCCCTTAAGTTCTACATTTAGCAGCTGATGTACATATAAGGATTTCAATAAGATACTCCTCTCTTCAAACACATTAAGTCATAGCACAACTGTCTGCTTCCAAACTGCCACCCAGGGACTGGCCATACTCCTGGCTGAACAAAAGCTCTTTGTCACAACTCAAGATGAGGGTGCTGATTCAGCAGAACTGAAGGGTCATGATTTTCCCAGTATATTTCAGTTTTACATCTCAGACCCTTCTCTCCAAATGTGCTAATACTCAGTTCAATATAATGTTTAATGGGAAATGCACACCAAACTTTCTCAAAGGGGAGAAAATGTCTTGCTAATACCACAGGAGTGGTGATCAAGCTTTCGGCAGAATGGAATGGCTTCACTGACTCAGTATGGATATTAGTAGGAGCAATAAAACAATTTCTCCTCACACATAAAGGCTAGGATCATATAAAACTCACTGGCCTCTAACATGAGAAAAAGAGAAGGAGCAACTGAGCTTGATTGTACAGTCACATCTGCACAATTCCGTCAGTACACAGAAAAAGGCCTGCTAACTGGCAGTTTCAACACTAAGAGAAGATGATATTAAGGTGGCAAACAACCAAGAGGTAATATCTAGTTTCTAGGTTAAAAAACAATATATATTTATATTTATAATAAAATTTTAAATACAAAGTGCTTTTTATATATCGAGAATGATACAGTGTTAGTGAATAGATCCCTGTTTTGTAACCTTGATTACAAGAATTAACTGGTAAATAAGCATTTTCTTTCCCCTTTCCAGACAATGCTCAACGAGTAAACATCTTTGTGTTAGGAGCTTGAGGATCAGAGGCCATTGCCAGCGATGTCTACCATGTTAGATCAAAACCAAACTTTTTAAACAAAATTCACCCAAATCCAAGAAAAATTATTTTTATTTTAAGAAAAAAAATTCTACTTAGAAATAAGAGACCAGTTAAGTTTATGGAAAGATGACATAATAGTAGCACCCTGTCCTACCCTGATAATAACCTCAGGTACATTACACAGCTTAGGAGCATTCTGAGTATACACCTTCTTTTGATCCTAAAACATCTGACCAGCTGGCAGAAAAGGTCTCAGAATAGCTGCTTGTTTGTTGCTGGATATAGCTGTGTGGACTTGTCAATTTATGCACTCATCTGCAACCTGGAAGAATGAACCTGTAGAATATTTGGCTAAAATTAGGACTCCTTCCCCCTCTTGACACACATTGCTGCACTCAAAAGAAACTGGCAGCATTAGCTCTGTGTATCCTTCTAAGAGAGTATCCCCCTCTTCCACCAGTGTATTTTCAAGACTCCTCTTGTGCAGTGTTTTTCCCTCATGTTTAACCTTTCATTCGTAAGATTCTGCTTCTCCTCAACTGTCGCTCTGACAATAGGAGTGCCATGCAGCACTGTTAACTCCTAGAGCTCACAGGTAACTCAGCCAAGACTTCTGCTCCTCCTTCCTGTGACATATGGTCACAGGCTGCCCTTGCTGGGAAGCACCATAATCTAAGATGGAGCAACAACTGGGGTACTACCTGGCACAGAGGTAAGAGTCACAACAGGCTAGATGTCTCTTAACCGGAGTAGATTTCACTGCCTGGATGCTACATTTAAAAAACAGGATTTGGGGCAGCAAACCAATTAGAAACACCTATCTCTGGCACCCAAAAGAATTACAATTAGATACAATTCAAACTCAAAGTTAGTATTAAAATACAAAACTGTGCCTTATTAAGAGTTTGAAACATTGTGACAGTCGCATCTTACAGAAACTGAAGCTTGTACCATAAGTTGTTTCAGAATGTTTGTTTTAGAGTGTTACCCTCTCAGGATCTCCATAGTTTTAGTTAAAATACTCTTTAGAAAGAATGAAACCAAAGAGAGCTCTGTTAATCAGTTTCTCATACTAGGAATCACATTATATGTAGCTTTTACATAAGTAGCATTTCATTCAGTGAAGCAGCTACCAAAACAAACCCACATTTCCTAAGTATCTATAGTTAAAGCAAAATAAAATTTCAACATGACCTTGTAATAATGAGTGATCAAAAACTGCTGCCACTGCAATGGAACTGGTAGGCTGGAGTCCAGTTCCAAGTACAGGTGTCTCTATTACCAAGTCCACCTGCTTCAAACACTACTGGCTTGAAGGTTTCCCTTGCCAGCTGGGCAGTGGGTTAACTTATCCCCATCGCCCATTTCAGGCCAAGATTGAAACATACAAAGTTGAAGAATTAGATTTTTTAATTGGCCTACTTAGAGCTGGTCTTTCAGAAATATCTTCCTTTTTTTTTTTTTTAAGCCTCTCTCATAATAGCAAGTAGCACGCATCATCTGTGCCCAGATTTGCATTAATTACCATAGTTTATTTTTGTGCATGCCACTCAAGGGCCAGATCCTATTTTTAGTTAGCCTCAGTTGTATTCTGCTCAGCCTTTGCAGCTTCGTAGGACTTGGTACAAGAAGTCACATGCCTGTGGAAACTGTCCCTCCACATAAATCTCTTTGCACAGATATTACACTCATACGGCTTAATGCCTGTATGAATTTTCATGTGGCCCACGAGATGGTGCTTCATTTTGAATTTCTTACCACAGACACCACAACCATAAGGCCGAAGACCGAGGTGCATGCTCATGTGTCGATCTCTCTGACTCTTGTGAGTGAAACTTTTCCCACACTGACAAGGATACAGCTTGTCAGTGGCTGAAAATCCTAAGTGGGAAGCTTCTTCTTTAATCCCTGTCACCATTTCAATATTCTCACTATAGCCTGCTGCAAGGGCAGCCTCCTGTCTATGCCCAATGAGATTCCCATCTGACCTCTCTCCAGAAAATTCTTCCATGGAAGAGCCATAGAAATCCACCTGCTCATCGTAGTTACTTTCATCAGCCTGTTCGTCAAACTCTGCTTCCACCTTCTTCTCCCCAATGGGAAAGTCCTCCTCCACTCCCGAAGTCTGCACCGAGTGCTCTGTCTGCATGGTGTTGATGGACTCGGTGACCTGGTGCTCATCGTAGGCTGCATGCACATCCATGCCCTCGCAAGCCTGCTCCAAGCGCTCAGGTTTCACGTGGATCCAGCGTTTGTGAGCCATTATGCTAGGCTTGCTATACATGGGCCGGGTGTAGTGGAACTCAGCGCTGTCACTGGCTCCCTCCTCCCCATCCTGGCTTGCCATTTCAGTACTCAGCCGGTCATGCTCCGTCGACGAGTTGCTGGGCAGGTATTCATGCTCCGTGAGCTGAGACGACAGCTCATCTTTGGTGCTCTCCTCTTCATTCTCACCATCTCTCAGTTCTTGGGCTTTGGGGAAATCAGTGTGGCTCCCAGAACCCAACTCAAAGCTCTCTACCAGGCCATTGTAACTACTGCTGCTTGGAGACTGGTGGTCACTGCCATGATTTAGCTTCTGACAAAGGACTGTAGGGTTTCCCTCTAAAACCTCAGTGCATTTGTCCACCACATGCCACATCTGGAGGAAGCTGGCTGCTGTTAAGTAACTAACGATTTCTGGAGCAGGCATTACTAGGCGTCCTGTGTAACTAGAGAGGAGAATGTTCTCAAACACTCTTGGGTTCATCACATCAGGCAAAACAATTCTCCTGCTGTTTTTCAGAAGTACTTGGTCACAAAAGTAGGGTGAACTGGCAGCAAGAACAGCTTTGTGTGCCCGGAAAATGTGGCCTTGAACAACAATGGAGACGTCACATAATTGTCCTTGCTGGCGCTGCTGGTTCAGTTTCTGCAGAATGGTGCTAGAAAAATCAGGAAACTCGACTCGAAAAGAGTTTGTTCCAGGCTCCATTTCATCACAAATCTTGTTTAGTACTATAAGAGAAAGAAAAGTTAGTACTAATTCCAGCCCAAAGAGACACTTATTCTATACCCTTTTCCGTACCTAAGAAAACTAAACAAAGTTCCAAAGTTCCAAAAATTCTCCTTGCCTACGGGCACTATTGCAGATATGAGAGTGTCAAAAGCCAGAGTCACCCACAATCCTTCACAGAATTAACTCTTGATTTGCTTCTGTGTGTGAGAAAACAAAATCCACAGTGATTGTATTTGTAAACTATAAAAATCCTCTAGGTAAAACAAGGTAAATATTTCTAATTAAAACAAACATGATTCCTACGAAAACAACTGAATTTTAAGACTCAAATTCAATTCACATTTGACCAGCTGTGGTGAGGGAAAGAGCAAAGAATTGTGGGAATAGGGCTGTGGGTATAGCTCAGTGGTAGACGGTGTGCTATGCACGCTTAAGGCCCTGAGTTGGATCCTCCGCAAACCTCCCCTCTTGACACACAAAATAGTTGTGGGGGGAAGGAAACACAGATGCAAAGGCACTCAGGCAGGAATGAATCTGGCAATTCAAGTATCCCATAGGAGACTGCTAGGCTAGATTTCAGGGAGGGTGTGAGAATCAAGGGAACTGGAAACATTGTACCTTTGGTCTCTCAACACCAAAAAGGGTATATTCACTGAGGCCCTGAACAATGCAAGTTTCTCTAGCGGCTGTGGGAATTTTAGCCCTTGAAGAGGTTTTAAAGAAGTGAGGCTAGATGAAGTTGCAAAGCAAGGTACTCTGTCTATTTGGTGGTCTCCAAATGGGTTATAGAGCAAGGGAGACAGTAAATATTGTTTCTGCTACTAAATAGAATCAATTAAGACATAGAGCTACTACAAAGAATAAAGGATTGCCTGTGTTATTACTGTACATACATCTTATGGGACAAGTCCTACATTAGAGATGATTCTTAACAATAGCAGCACATGATGAACTCTGCTAGGGATCCAGCCTATGCCCCATAACTCTATAGTAAATTAAAGCACACAAAAACACTCAAATGCCATATTTGATACTTATCAAACATCTCTACATATCAAGTCTTCTATGTTTGAGATAAAGAATCAGGCAATTCAAACAAAGACTGGAAGTTATTCTTGAGGGATAAGGAGAGGTGATAATAGAAGAAATGAATGTTTCTTGAGTAATTATATGCCAAGGACTGCACATCTTTTTCTACTTTAGTCTTTATAATTACTCTGCAAATGTAGGGCTTGATATTCTTAAGTTCAGCTATTTTAAGTAACTTTCCCAAGGTTAAAAGCCAGTTTTTAGTAAGTTGGGATATGAATTCAGGTCAGTATGACTCCAAAGCCTGTGGTATTTTTCCCATCATCTCACTCTGTCTCCTCTAACTTGCCAAAATGCCAGATCAGTTATTAATAATTTTAAGATAAGGACAATATTTTTGGAACGAAGAATTATTTATGGTTTTATACATCTTAAAACATTTCACAATAATTTTAAACAAAGATCATGAGGGCTGGGGATGTGGCTCAAGCAGTAGCGCGCTCGCCTGGCATGCGTGCGGCCCGGGTTCGATCCTCAGCATCACATACAAACAAGGATGTTGTGTCTGCCGAAAACTAATATTTAAAAAAAAAAAAATCATGAGATTATTTAGGTTATTTGTAATTCTAGATTTGTATAGACTGGAGGTCTAAATGTAAATTCTGACAACTACATCTGGGTGAACAGATTCTCTCAGCTAGTTCTCACCACTATAGAATTTTCATTTTAACTATTTAAAAAAGAGAGGGCCAGGCACGGTGTCGCAAGCCTGTAATACCAGTGGCTTGAGAGCAGAGGCAGGAGGATCATGAGTTCAAAGCCAGCCTCAGCAATTTAGCGAGGTGCTAAGCAACTCAGTGAGACCCTGTCTCTAATAAAATACAAAATAGGGCTGGGGATGTGGCTCAGTGGTCTAGTGCCCCTGAGTTCAATCCCTGGTTACAGCCCCTGAATAAACAAAACAAACAAATAAATAAATAAATATATACACACACACACACACACACACACACATTCAAAAGGGGGGGGGGAGGACAGTGCATGCACATGTTAAAAAAATTATACAAAGTATTAAAAATCTGCTACCATTTATTCATCCAATGGAAATTACCTTTGACAAACTCCTGTATATCTTCCTAGAAATTTCTGTGTACATATATCAGAACAAATCATATATATCCTTTAAAAAGCCTCATCAAAATAGGTTGATTACCACTTTTTACTTTGCACTTAGCTTTGTCATTTAATATATCTCAAAGGCCTTCCCACACACTAGCCCCACAACAGCTACTCATTCTGTTTTTTGGCTACACAGTTCCTGGTCCACGAATACATGCTAATATAAGCAGTTCTCATAGAATTTCACTTGTCTAGATTTTTAAAATTACAAGCAATGCTACAATGATTATTGGCGTACCTTTGAAAATATCTATGGGGCAATTTCCACCAGTAGAGTTGCTGGGTCAAAGGACTGCACCATGAACATGCTGATATGTATTACCCAAACTACTTTCCAGAAAGCTTGTATCAAGTCACACCTTCACTAATAGTAAATGACAGTGTCAACTTCCCACACTCTAAGATTGGCTATTATTAAACAAGAAAAAAATGTTGCAAATCTTGTAAGGGAATAATCCATGATTCATTGCTACTTTAATTTTGTATTTCCCTAATTATGAGTAACATATCCTTTGCTCAAATAAACTGGGAAATTAATGTTGATTTATAAGATCATTTTGTAAATTCAGAAAATTAAGTTTATCCTTTGTTGCAATTCTTTTTCTGTTAGCCAAACAGAACTTTTTGCCACAGTGAAATTCATGTAAAACAACCATTCTTTTTCCTTTTATGGCTCCAGAATTTTGTGTCAGACATAGAAGGACAATCCAAACTCCATTTTTTTTTTTTTTAAATATAAGAGAATTCCTTATTTATTTTTTTCTTGGTAACATTTAAAAAGGCATTTAAACCTTTAATACATAGTTTACTTTGTTATGAAAAGTAAAGCTGGAACCTAGCCCTTTTCCTTCCAAATAGCTAGCCTATTTTCCTAACACCATTTATTGAATAATTCATCTTTTCCTCAAAAAGTTCAAGTATCTATTGTGGAATTCTAAACAACAAGACATTTAAAAAGAGTTCTACAGAAATAAATGCCATAAATGAGGTTATGGAAAATAGAGTAGGAAGCTCCTCCACCAACATAATTGAGAAGCTGAAAAATGATGATTGGGATCACTATTTCAGAACTCTGAAAGTGATCAGACATAGCAATGAAGAGAATGCTGGACAAAGAGAAAGACTGCTGAACTCAGAAGAAAGTAGTGTGTGCACCCACCATTCCTTAGCCCTGCCACACCTGGTGGCAAAGAGACCTGCATTCCTAGAGCAGTGGGCTGATGCCAGGATGCACAGTATGGAGCCTGTCCTCCAACCAAGTGGGGTTGGGTACTCTGGCTAGCCCGGCAGACCTGCACAGGTTTGTTTTGGCCTCCTCATGATACAGTGACCTATTACCTAGCCCTATTACCCAGTACCTTAGAGTGACTTCCCACTGGCATCTATTATAAGATTTAAGAACAGATGGACCTGGACCCAGAGAGAGAGAGAGAGAGACAGACACATACACTTGAGGAAATCGCTAGCAGGTCACAGGCTGACTGCATATATATGGAAACTTCAGTGACTGCATGCAACTAGGAATACAGACTTTGCAAAATACTTTGGGAAAGTTCCAGACAACTGCAGATTCAACAAGTAGCAACAACAACAAAAAAAGTCCCTAGGGAGGAGGAGAATCTGATTTCGAGTTACAACAATACTCAAAATGCCCAGATCGCCACAAAAAGTCACAAAGCATGCATAGTAAAAGGAATATATGGCACATTCATAGGAAACAATAAACCATGCTGAGGAAACTGAGACACTGACTTTTACTATGGTTTGTAGTGTCCCCCAAGAGTTCATGTGCTGTAAACTTCATCCCCAAATTAATATGCTAAAGGTATCTGGAGGTGGGGCCTTTGGGAGGTAATTAGCATGGTGTTAATACTTCATAAGAAGATTAAGAAAGATCTGAGCTAGCATATTTGCTGTCTCTGTCTTGCCATGTGGTTTCCCATCTCACGTTATGACGCAGCAGGAAGGCCCTCACCGGATGCCAAGCAGATGCCAGCATCACGCTCTTGGACTTCCCAGCCTCCAGAACTATGGGCCAAATAAATTTCTGTTCTTTATAAATTACCTGGTCTTGGGTATTTTGCTATAGTAACAGAAAATAAACCAAGACATAATTACTAGTCACAGATGTTCAATCAATTGTTTTAAATATGCCCAAAGGACTAAATAAATCTATGAATAAAGAACTAAAGGAAATCAGGAGAAAAACATCAATAAGGCAATAAAAATTATAAAAAGGAACCACATATCAATTGTGGAGCCGGAAAGTACAATAGCTGTGTTGTGAGCTGAATTGTATCCTCCCCCGCCAATTCATATGTTGAAGCCCTATTACCCAGTACTTCAGAGTGACTCTAATTGGAAATAGGTCCTTTAAAAAAGTGATTAAGTTAAAATAAGGCCATTTTGGTGGCTCTACCACAACATGACTAGTGTCCTTTTAAGAAGATGAGATTTGGACACAAAAAGAGACAGCATGGATGTACACATTTAAAGAAAAGACCATGTGAGGCCCAAGTGAGAAGGCGGCCATCTACAAGCCAAGGAAGAGGCTGCAGGGGAAACCAAACAAATCAGCACCTTGATCTTGGACTGCTAGGAAGTCAGAAGGTAGTGGGATGACATCTTTAAAATACTAGAACAGGCACAGTGGCACATACCTATAATGGGGAGCGACTAGGGAGACTCAGGCAGGAGAACTGTGAGTTCAAAGCCAGCCTCAGCAACTTAGCAAGGCCTTAGGCAATTTAGTGAGACCCTGTTTCAAAATAAAAACATAAAAAGGACTGGG